TCTTATTTAATGTGCATAAACATATTTGCAAAATTAGGATTGAAGCGTATATACAAATTTGTCTCCTGCATTTTAAAAATTGAGTATTGTACTATGAATATTTTTCTAAGTCATGAAACAGCCTATCAAAGCACGTTTTCTTAGCTGCTTAATATGATGCATGATATGTATATCTAACATAAATATCCAGTAATAAGGAAATGATGGATTCATAAAGAAGAATATTTTACAGTCATTCAAAATGATGTTCTCACAGGTTATCTCGTGGCATTAGAAAATTCTCACAGAACATAATGTTAGGTCATAATTCAGGAGATGAAACTATATTCTTAATCTAGTTTGTACAAAAGCTCTCAAACAGGCAGGAGCTTGGCCTAAGAGCAATGTAAACTATTAGAGGGATTTTAGTATGGGAAAGACATACCCGATTTTCATTTTATAATCTTACCCTGGGCTGGGTGCAGTGGCTCATGCCTGTAATCCCAACACTTTGGGAGGCCAAGGCAGGCGGATTGCATGACCCTAGGAGTTCAAGACCAGCCTGGGCAACATGACAAAACTCCATCTCTACAAAAAATAGAAAAAAATTAGCTGGGTGTGGTGGCGCATGCCTGTAGTCGCAGCCTACCCAGAAGGCTGAGGCAGGAGGATCACTTGAGCCCAGGAGGTCAAGGCTGTAGTGAGTGTGATCATGCCACAGCACTCCAGCCTGGGCAATAGAGTGAGACCCTGTCTCAAAAAAATAAAATAATAAAATAAAATAAAATCTTACCCTGGCTCCCAGTTGCAAAGAGGTAGAAGCAGATATAGGGCTGTCAGGAGGTTTTTGATAGTTCGGGTCTGGGGTAGAGTTGTGATGAGAAGGACTATCACTGAAGACCAAGCTTGCAGGTGGAGTGAAGTCTGTGGAATGGAATGAATGTGGTGTGTGAGGGAAGGGAGGTGTCAAGGATGTTCCTAAATGTTTGCTTTTTGTGACTGGGTAAGGAACACTGCTGGAGGGATTAAAATTTAGGGATGTGGAAGATGTTGGGATATATAAGTTTGACATACTAGAGAGATAATCCAAGTAGAGATGTCAAATAGGCTGTTGAATTTAAATCCCAATGTTATAAATATGGATGTGCCCAAATGAACTGAGAGGAAAGTCCACCCAGATCCTAACAGAGGGTTTCTCCAAGTTGTCAGAGATTTTTATTATCTTTTAGTATAGAATTTTGTATTTCCTAAATTTTCTATAATGTTGATGTGTTATTTTTATAATCAAATTTAAATGTTGCTAACATACATTCATCATGGCTTTATTTATACTGGTTTAAAAATGGGAAATAACCTAAATGCATAACAATGAGACAAGACTGGTTAAAAGAAAATGGGATGGGATTGAAAACCCTTTAGCCACCTTTAAAAAAATATTTTCAGTGTTACTCAAAAAGGAAAAGTTAGTTCTGTTTAAAAATAAAAGAAATTTTTAAAAATGAAATCTATAATACTGAATTGAGACTAGTAGAATGTGGAATCTAATCTATAGGATAAATAGATAAGCACACTTGATAATTATTTTCTCCTCAATTCATATTGGAAAGAATAGTGGCCTCTTTGTCACCAGATGCTGAGTTTGATGTATCAGCTTTTAGTGTGGAAGTTCTGAAAATATGCTAAATCCTTTTAACCTACCAGGTTGCTTTTCATTAATGACCTTACACATACTTGTCATGAATTTATCATCCATTAAATCATTTTTTAGATGATTTTTTTTCTAAGGGGAACATTTACCGCTCTAGTGTTTTGTTTGCAGATAAAAGTACTTAATTGCATCTCTTACCTGCATTATTTAAAAGGATTAAGATTGCCGTAAATCTTATTAGTAATGTTAAATTGTCTCAGCTTGAAAAGATGTTTCAAATTCTGTGCAGAATGAACCAGAGGTCTAAATTAATTAATTTTATAAATAAAAAAGAGGTCACGTTCTTTTCAAAGGTCACTGAGAACTTATTTTTCTTTTCTCTTTTTAAAATTCACAGATTAAAATACAATCAATAGTATTTTAGTGTACAAGTAGATTAACTGTATCCCAACGTTAAAGAAAATCTTAAAATGCCACATTGCTACTTTGGATTAACAGAAAATTACTTTGTATTCTTTAGCTACAGATCAATCATATGTTGATAATATAACATAAACTGAAGGCATTTTTCCTAAGGAAATGTAAGAGTTTAGCTATTGAAGTAGTTGTACCAAAATAAATATAATACAGAGAAGATTTTAACTTCAGACAAAGGAAAATCACGCATAGTTATAAATTCTAAAAACTCACAGTATGCTTGTTTCTGTATAAGCACATACCCCTGCACCATTAAGGTCTTTCCACCTTTGTATTTGAACGATGATTTCTCTCACAAAGGTGATGCATGAAGCTTTTTTTTTTTTTTTTTACTTTTTATTGAGGTAAAATAGACACATAGGAAAGTCTACACATCATAAATGTATATACAGTGTGATGAATTTTCACAACCTGAACACAGTCACATCCCCAGCACCCAGCTTCATGGAGAAGCATTACTAGCACCCCAGGAGCTCTGCTGCGTGCTCCCTTCCAGTCCTGTCCTACCCACCCTTAGAGTAATCAGGTCCTGACTTCTAACAGTACAGAAGCTGGGGACAGAGTTACTGAGTTTTATACTTTATATAAATGGAATTGTTCTCTTTTGCATCTGGCTTTTTTCTTTGAACATTATGTTTTGAAGATTGACTCATTGTTGCATGTAGCACATTCACTTACTGAATACTGTTCCATTGTGAGATTATATCACAATTTACTGATCTATTGTAGATAAGTAATTTACGGACATTTGAGTAATTTCCAGCCTAGAATTGTCACAAATAGTGTTGTTATGAACATCCTAGTACATGTCTTTTATGGTCATGCATACACATTTCTGCTGGGTATACATAGCTAGGAGTAGAATTCCCTTGACCTAGGGGGTACATATGCTCAACTTTAATAGATACTGCAAAATGGATTTTCAAAATTTTTATATTAGACTCAATTTTAATAGTGTTCTACCATATCAGAAATGTTAGTTTTTTGAAATCTCGCAAGCACGTGTGTTATAACCCGATAATTTCTATTTTGTACTATAGTTATTTATCCAAGCCTTATCTCCTTTCTCGATTGTCAACTCTTTAAAGAAATTGTCTTATTCATCTTTTTATTTCTGATATTATCTTATTCATGTTTTTATTTCCCAAAGTACTTTGCACAATTCCTTGCATATAATAGGCTCTAAACTAATTTTTTTTTTTTTTTTTTTTTTTTTTTTTGAGACAGAGTCTTGCTCTGTGCCCAGGCTGGAGTGCAGTGGTACGATCTCGGCGTACTGCAAGCTCCGCCTCCCGGGTTTACGCCATTCTCCTGCCTCAGCCTCCCGAGTAACTAGGACTACAGGTGCCCGCCACCACACCTGGCTAATTTTTTGTATTTTTAGTAGAGATGGGGTTTCACCGTGTTAGCCGGGATGGTCTTGATCTTCTGACCTCGTGATCCACCCACCTCGGCCTCCCAAAGTGCTGGGATTACAGGCATGAGCCACCACGCCCGGCTGCTCTAAACTAAATTTTTTATGAGAATAGATGAGTAAATGAAAAATTACATGCAGTATTAATATTAGGAATGTTTATAAATTGCAAAAATACAAATGGTATATGCAAAAAACTGAGTTCTTAAAGTAAGTGCTAGACAGAATTAATATATTAATATTTGTTCATAGCTTTCCTGAACTTTTATATACTTTTTATATGCTTTTATGTGGGCCAGTTTAGTATAAAGTTGAATTGTGGATTTTTAACTACTAGACTTAAAGCCTGGCGTTACTCCCATATAGAAAAGCACGTGAATATTATGTAACAGTGATCTGCATTTGTTAGCTCTGAATTTGAAGAGCAATGAGAGAGTGCAGGTGAGAAAGGTGAGAGGGAAGTTGTGTATCAGAGCAGTCATGAAAACATTTTAACTGTGATCGGGTTGTATGAGCCAAATGGAATTTTAGTGGCTTTTAACATTTAGTATGTATCATTTAAAATTGCTGAGTTAAAATATTAAGGATTTATGGGGGTTTTCTCCCTTCATACTTTTCTCCAAATTCCAGATTTTTTTCCGTGAATGCATGTTAGTTTTATCTGTTCCTTTTTCTTTTCTTAAGCATTCTAAATACTCTGGCTTGGAACATATTACTTGCTAAATCAGAAAATTTTTTTTTCTTTCTGACTTTGAGTTTAGGTTCAAGGGGCACATGTGCAGGTTTGTTACATGGGTAAATTGCATGTCGTGGGGGTTTGATGTATAGATTATTTTGTCACCCAGGTAATAAGCGCAGTAAAGGTAGTTTTTTGATCCTCACCCTCCACCCTCAAGTAGGCCCTTGTGTCTGCTGTTCCCTTCTTTGTGTCCATGTGTACTCAATGTTTAGCTCCCACTTATAAGTGAGAAATGCAGTATTTGGGTTTTTGTTACTGAATTAATTTGCTTAGGATAATGGCCTCTAGCTCCATCCATGTCGCTGCAAAGGACATGATCTTGTTCTTAGGGCTGTGTAGTATTCCATGGTATATGTGGATCATAATTTCTTCATCTGGTCTGCTGTTGGTAGGCATTTAGGTTGATATTATGTCTTTGCTATTGTAAATAGTGCTGTGATGAACACACATGTGCATATATCAATGACTTATATTCCTTTGGGTATATATCCAGTAATGGGATTGCTAGCTTGAATAGCAGGTCTGTTTTAAGTTCTTTGAGAAATCTCCAAATTACTTTCTACAGTGGCTGAACTAATTTACATTCCCACCAACAGTGCATAAGTGTTCCTTTTTATGCACAACTTCACCAGCATCTGTTATTTTTTGACTTTTTAATAATAGCCATTCTAAATCAGAACATATTTTTTAAAATAATTTTTGTTGCAAAAATTGCGACTATGATGATCTCTCTTTTATTTCAGTCTTGGCCTGACTACGAGGATATCTATAAAAAAACAATTGAAGTTGGCACATTTTTAGATTTGCCTCGTTTTCCAGACATAACTGAAGACTGCTATCTTCATCCCAACATACTGTGTATGAAATACTTGATGGAAGTCAACCTCCCTGGTAAGTGTGTGGCATATATTGTGGGGACACTTTAACTATTCGAGTTACGGTAAGCAGACTTTTCAAATCACAGAGTATTAGAACCACCTGAAAAGGTCCATGGTAACATGAAACTTAATTTCAAAATTCTTTCTTAAAATAATTCAGACCCTTTAAAATCGTTAAAGGGACAATATTCAGAAATAGAGTTTTCAGAAATAGAGTTCTGTTTTGGTGTGAGGGATTTATGCTTGAAAGAAGATGTTTGATTTTTATAGTAAGTTTGCTAAGTGCAAGTAAAGTACCAAATGTTTCAGTGTATGTTTTTAATGACCTGTCCCCCATCCCAAAATGGTACTTTTTAATTTGCATGAAGCATTATTATTACGTAATGAATTCTAATTTTTAAAAAATCCTAGAAGCTAATCTCTGTAACATTTTTATTGTTTGATAATATATTCAGTCCATAAAACAAATGGAGATCAAAGTCTGGTCAGATCATATTGAGCTCTTTAAGGCAGTGAAACATAAAATGTAAAAAGAGCCTCACTATACCTGGTTCATAGTATACCAACACACAGGTAACCTCAATGGAATCTGCTGGTGGAATCCAGTCCTGAATTTCTTGTTAGACTAGAAATATGAGAAATTTTGGACTTATATTCTTAAGAGAAAATAAACATGGTGTGACTATACCATTGCTGAAGCAATGTAAAAAATGTAATTGAATGTGTTGTTAATAGGAGAGTAAAATACGTGTGTTATGTGGAAAAAGCAATATACAAAATTGTATGCACAGTAACTATAAATATGAATATAAATATGTAGTAACATGTATATAAATGTAAGTATTGTAATAATTTAAAATTTTTTTAAAAACAGGAGCAAAAATAATTTAAATTTTTCAAATGTAACATTTCTAAAGCTAAGGAATATGGCTCTTATTGACATTCCAGAAATCAGTAATTATTTAAGATTCTAGAATTTAGAAGATTTTATTTCTGCATTTGGACATGTTGTATATCAGAATTACTATTTTGGATTTTTTTTTTCTTTCTGCTGCTTTGATGGGTCTCTCAAGTACGGAAAGTTCTTGTATGCTGTCTTATATTCTAAATCCTGAGTTTATAGAGCGAATACTGGTCTATGGAAGGAACACCAGGGATTATCAAAATATAACTGATGCAGCCTGGTTAATAGCAAACAAGCATCTATCTCAAGTGTTTGTTGTTGGACAGAGAGGGGATGGTAGGTTTTCTGGCTGATATCTATAGTTTAACTATTTTTCTTGCCTAACGTTTCCTGTAAGGAGTAGAAATAAATCCATTATAATATGCAGAGAGACGTTATTGTCATTTGATATTTATTAAGTGACTTTTTGGAGGCAGTATTATAAAAAATGTAGGTAGAAAAATTTCACTTCTCACAGTCTGTTCAATAGAAATAATTTGAAATATAGAAAAAAATTACACATAAATGTTATTAGTCTCTTTATAATATTGAAAAATCAGAAACAAATATCCAAAAGAAAGGGAAGGGTTATGTAAACAGTGGTGTGTGCATTCAGTGGAACATTAGGTATGTAGCTTTTAAAATAATGTTTATGAAGAGTTCATAAAAGCATGGAAAATGTTTATGTTATAATAAAAAGTCAAGCCAAATTACAAAATTAACGTATAACATAACCACAGCTACATAAAATGAAGACATTCATGAAAAGATTAGAAGTAAATATACCAAAATGTTAAAGTGGCTGTTTCTAAGTTAGGGTAACACATGTTATTTTTTTTTCTCCTACCTTTTTGTGTCTTATAAATATCCTATATTGAGTTGTATTACTTATTAGTGGGCACGGGGAGTGCAATAAGCTTTTTCTTTTTTTTTTTAAAGACAAAGTCTTTCTCGGTTGACCAGGCTGAAGTGCAGTGGCGTGATGGTAGCTTATTACAACCTTGAACTCCTGGGCTCCAGTGATCCTCCCACCTCAGCCTCCCGAGTAGCTGAGACTACAGGCACGCACCACCATACCTGGCTAGCTTTTTTTGTTATTATTTTTAGTAGAGACGAGGTCTTGCCATGTTCCCCAGGCTGGTCTTGAACCTCCAGGCTCAAGCCATCTTGCTGCCTTGACCTCCCGAAGTGCTGGGATTACAGGCATACGCCACCAAGCCTGGCCTATTTCTTTTTAAACAAAAAATAGATCTACAAATTAAGTTATGATACTCCCTATATCTTAGGATTTAGATTCTAAAATGTTTACAGTTGGTATGCAAACCACCCATACATAAGATTATAAGAGTATTGGCCGGGCGCGGTTGCTCAAGCCTGTAATCCCAGCACTTTGGGAGGCTGAGATGGGTGGATCACGAGGTCAGGAGATCGAGACCATCCTGGCGAACGTGGTGAAACCCCGTCTCTACTAAAAAATACAAAAAACTAGCCGGGCGATGTGGCGGGCACCTGTAGTCCCAGCTACTCGGGAGGCTGAGGCAGGAGAATGGCGTAAACCCGGGAGGTGGAGCTTGCAGTGAGCTGAGATCCAGCCACTGCACTCCAGCCTGGGCGACAGAGCCAGACTCTGTCTCAAAAAAAAAAAAAAAAACAATTATAAGAGTATTTCCAGAATGTGCCATTTGTAATTACAAATATTGCTCTCGGTAATGCCATCAGTTGTGCGGTGCCATTGATCAAAAAGAAAAGATCTGTGTATGTGGTACTTTTACAAAGATAGGGTTTAGTGTTCCCAGAAAGCTAAAAGTGGTTTTAAACATGCTGGGGCAATAGCCGCCTCTCCTCAATGCCTTTAAAGGTGACCAGGTAGCCTCTGGGGCTCGGGGAAAGGTTTCGGCAAGTATGTCACACACGCCCTGCCTGAGTAAGCGCTACCCCTTTGATGGCCATCAGTGAGCTCAGATGCACTCTCCACCCTCTGGTATAGTTCCTCCCATTGTCACCCACAAGCCTGCTGGAGAGAGTTTCTGACGGTGTTCGTGATCATTTATGTAATTTCTGTTTCATGTATGTAATTTCTGAAGTTTCCAAAGTGCCCATGTATAAATTCTCTCCTTTGTGAAGGTGGGAAGGGAGGACAGGCAGGCTTCCCCTTGACAGATGAGACTTAGGGCGGTTCAGGGACACCCAGCTGGTAGATGGCAGAGTAGATTCCTACAACCCAGTCTTACCCTTCCAAGGCCTGTGCTCTTCCCACGCTCTGCTCCCTTCCAAGACCCTATACTGTCCTTGCTACCATTCTCATCATTTCTTCCAGTTGCTTTTTAGTTAGTCTGTACTTTTGGCATAAGGGGAGCAGTTCAAGATCTTAATTCTTTTTTTTTTTTTTTTTGAGACAAAGTCTCACTCTGTCACCCAGGCTGGGGTGCAGTGGCATGATCTCGACTCACTGCAACCTCCACCTCCCGGGTTCAAGTGATTCTCCTGCCTTAGCCTCCCAAGTAGCTGGGATTACAGGTGCCCATCACCATGCCCACCTAATTTTTGTAATTTTTTTTTTTTTTCTGGGACGGAGTCTTGCTCTATCGCCTAGGCTGGAGTGCAGTGGCATGATGTCCACTCACTGCATGCTCTGCCTCCCGGTTCATGCCATTCTCCTGCCTCAGCCTCCCGAGTAGCTGGGACTACAGGCGCCCACCGCCACACTCAGCTAATTTTTTGTGTCTTTAGTAGAGACGGGGTTTCACTGTGTTAGCCAGGATGGTCTCGATCTCCTGACCTTAGGTGATCTGCCCACCTTGGCCTCCCAAAGTGCTGGGATTACAGGCGTGAGCCACCACACCTGGCCAAGATATTAATTTTAAAAGAAGAGAAATATTTCAAGAAATGTCATTTTTTAGAATAACAATACTAATATGGTTTTGATTTTTAAATTATCTGAGAAGAGACTATAGCTTCTACAACCCAATATAAATAATGTTTAAAATTTTAGTACATGTATTTTAAAATTAATTCTTTCCCATGTTTGAAGTGTGCATGTTTGAGTGTAAGAGTCCTGTCTATCACTCATTTCTCTAATTTCCTTCATTATATTAATGCACAGTGTCTTGTACCTAGTAGACACTCAGTAAATGCTTGTTGAATTGAGCTTTATTTTCTATCTCCTCATCTTTTTGCATCTGAATGAAGCCCGGGAGTAAATTCAGGTGAAGCCTGTAAATTGAAATTATCTTGATAGTATAATAGTCCAAATTCTCTGCCTCACAAAGACCTGTACTGTCTGGCCCTGCCAACCTCTTCACATTCAGTACTAAAGCCTTGTTGGACTGTTCGCATTTCCTGAAAGCACCTTCCCATCTTTGTCATAGCCTGTACCGTACTGCATTCTCATTAGGAAAAGGACTTGAGGAAAAGGACTGTGTCTGTATCTTAAGTACCCAGAACACAGTAGTTGCTCAGTAAATGGTTGCTGGAAGAATAAAAGCCAAGTGAAAACTTTAGCCAAGCTATCAGAATCTGGTAGACATAAAAATTCTTTGATGCTGTATTTTGAATTATCATTGTTATATGTGTTCTGTTTCTATGTTAACAAAGCATTTTTTAATCAGCAAAAATTGTTTTTACTTAAATGTTTCAAGAAAGAAATTAATTTTGTGTTTTATTTATTCTTTATCATAAACATGTAATTAGTACCAATTATGTGTGGGTCGTAGCAGTTAGGAAGACAAATAAAACAAGATTGAGTCACCCTCAAGTTTAAGAGGGAAACAGAAAGATAAACCCTTAACTGAGTGCAGTAGAAGGGTACATGCCAGGAGATCTGCTTTAGCACTCAGAAGAGGGCCAGTCACAGGAGGCTGTGGTATCATGTCTGTTCTTAGAGGAAGTCACTGGTATAACCAAGTTCTCTAAGATGAGTGAGCTTCAGCCAGGCAAAGCCTGAGATGAGGAATGCGGGGAAAGAAACTGGCTTTCTAGGCAACGGGGCAAAAGTAGCTGTGCAAAGCCGAGAGGCAAGTGACAATATGGCTTGTTTGGGGGAACTATGGAGATTAGGCTGGGAGCTAAAGGCTTTAGTGAGTTCATGAGAGCAGGGGAATACGATCTTTGGGCCACAGGAGAGTAAGACTAGAGAAAGGGAGAGCAGTTCTAAGGGTGGCCCAAGGAGCAACAGTGAAGGGAAGAAAGGGGATGGATTGGAAAGCAGTCAGCACTGATCCAAGTGCCTTAGGTGTATTCATTAATTCAGTCTTCACAATCGTTATGAAGCACATACTATTCTTATTCCTATTTTAGATAGATTGTTTAAAAACTGAGGCACAGAAAGGTTATATAACATGTCCAAGGTCACAGAGCTAGTAAGTGATGGAGCAGGGACTCTAGTCCAGGCAGTTTGGTTCCATAGTCTCTTCTCAACCATGGTACTGTATGCCACCTTGAGAGAATGGAATTAACAGGACATGGTGGCTGAATGCGTGTAGGAGATTTAGTTCAGTTCCATACAAGCTCATTATCTCTTATAAATAATGGCTATCATACTTGAAATTGATTAGAGTAGGCTGTGGTCACATCTTACATACTTAGATTGGGAAGTACAGAAATTCTTTGTTTAGTAACTTTAAGAGTTTTCAAAGTCTATTCGCTTGAGCATAACTTCAATTTATTCTCATTATAACCCATTTTAGAAGTGAAGAAACTGATGCTAAGTGACTCTGATCCAAGAGTCACAAAGCTAATGATTGGAAAGCTTAAATATAGGTCCTAGGTTTTCTGGTTCCAAGTCCCATGTTATTCAGTCTTGAGTAATAGGTGTAGTCTATGCTTAAGATATAATTTCTTTAGGAAAGTAATATATCTAGTTAAACACTTGTTGAGGGCTTCCAGTGTGCCAGCCAGGATGCCAGCCAGTGCACATACATTGCTAGAGAAGCTTTTGATCTTATAAGGGAGTGGAGTTAGTTTTAGGTGAGCACACACTGCTGTAGAAACACAGACAAGAGATGTGGATGAAACAACTGGTATGTGGCTGCCAGATGCCAGGATATGTCCTAGAAATAGTAGATGTTTTAGGAAGTCGGAATAGGGAATGATACGCCATTTTAAGATTCTACCATTCATTTTTCTATACGGATGCCGTGTTTTGTTGTTTTATTCACAGAATGTGTGTCTCTGAGTTCTTGTATAGTGTTGTGTTTTAAGATAAAGGGTTTTTTATGGATATATACATTGGGGATGATCTAGTTGCCAGATAATTTAATTTACATTTTACTGTTTTGTTCTTCAGATGAAATGCATAACTTAACTTGCCACGTGGTGAAAATGACTGGAATGGGAGAAGTGGATTTTCTGACATTTGATCCTATAGCTAAAATGGCAAAAACTGTTAAGTACGATGTACAAGCTGTAGCTATCATTGTGGTGGTATTGAAACTGCTTTTTCTGTTGGATGATAATTTAGAGTGGTAAGTGTATGTCATTTTTATGACAAGTAACGTTTTATGGTGCTGATCTTAGTTTTTTAAGAAAGCTTTAAATGTCATGAAAACACTTTAAAAAAAGAGATAAAGAAAAAATGTGTACTGTATTTACCTAATTATATGTTATCTCAAAAAATGGAGACTCTCAATTGTTATAGAACATTGACTAGTAGTCACAATTACTTCTTACACAGTACTTTGACTCAGCTGGTTGTCAGTTGTTTGATCATGTTTTATACCTGTTATTCTTTAGGTAGCAATGTTCCTCATTGCTCCACTGATTTCCTAGTTTTAAAGTATCTTCATAAATCTCTGTCTGTATCCCTTTAGGCTCCTGGCAATATGTGTTCTCAAAGATTATTTTAGAAAGTAAAGGAATCTTAATATGTCGCCCCTCCCAAATGCCAACAAAGAGTGACAGTATAATTTATAGTGTCTCCTTCTCTGTTTCAGTGATAGCTTCTCCATGAAAACTTGGTATCAGTTTCAAATACTATTCTATACTTTTCTCTCAGAAGAATTCAGAATGTATCTTTCCAAATACATGACTTCTAAATAAATTGATTTGTTTATTGTTATCTCCAGGTCCTTGTCTAATCTTGCTGAAAAACATAATGAAAAGAACAAAAAAGGTATTTTAATTTTTTATCATTCAAATTCAAAGTGGTCATAGATGATAGATTAAAAGATGGAATAACTGTAGGCAAACAACTTTGAAAAATATACACATACACATGCACATACACATGTATACAAACTAAATATTGTACCAGTATTGTTTTTTTATATAATTACCTACTTGTATCTCTAGGGTACTAAAAAATACCAGTGAGTCCCTATTATATGTAAGACCAGCCAGCTTTGTATTCCCAACTTCTACTCACCAGCCATGCTAGATCATGAATTTACAGGTAGCTTTGTGACCATCCTGTCTATTCTGATGCTTTCAGCCTTTGCTCTTGTTGGTCCCTCTATCTGAAATGTTCTTTCTTTCTTACCCCAACTCCTGTTCAGTCCCTGGCAAATCCTCCTTTATGCTTCAAGATGCAGCATAAACACCACTCTTCTGTCTCATCTTCACACCTATCCACTTCACAATGCTTCACCTCTTCCCAAATCAGAACTAATAACCCCTGCCACAGTCACTCTTGTTCAGACTTCTGCTAGATGTTTAGTACCTTGAGGTCTAACTAATGGCCTAAGTACATCTGTCCCTATTAGATTGCCAATATTTGTAAAGTGCTTAGAAGAGCATCTGGCATCTAATAAGTACTTTATAAGTGATAGACAGACAAGTGAAGTGTGAACTTCTGGAAGGAGGGATCATATCTTTTTTTCTTTTTTTCTTTTAATGTATTTTTAGTGCCTAACATAGTGACTAGCCTAAGAGCAGCTCAGTGAAGTATGGTGAATATGTGAATTATTAAATTCAATTCCAGTTTATTAATGTTCTCATTAGGATTTATGTTCATTGGTTTTAGAGGCTTGAATTTATTGGTAGCAATCAGTTTGTGTGTTCTTTCCAGAATATGTGCAAAGTAAAATACTACTTTCTGTACGTTGCTCATGTTGGCTTCTATGTAGAGTGAAAGGTTGAACTAGCTGTCTTCTAATATCCCCGCTAATGCTAAAAGGTGGTAATTTACTACGTAGACATATAGAATAAACAGAGTACTTTGACCTGTCTCCCTTGTAAGCCTCAAAATAAATCCATGCTGTCAGCAGGGCGAAGATCACTGTCGTTTCTCTCTGCTCTTCCTGCTAATTACCATCCCCTGCCCCTAGCATTGTTGATGGGGAGACTGAGGTTTAGAAAAGTTGTGACTTACTCCAGGTCAAAGAACCATGAGTTCTATCGATTACTATAGTTTTCCTCTATTCTTATAATTCTTTTGGTAGTTTTCTCTCCTCTGTGGCTGTATGATCTACAAGATCATATTGGATTAAACAATTATTATATTGGCGAGTTGAAAAGATTTTTAGTTAGACATGGAAAGAGACTACCTTCCCAGAGAATAATGGAAAATAATCCCTATATGGAGTGAAAGAGTGAGGAGTGAGTTTTTATACTTTACTACATTCAGTTCTGTTGTCTCTCTGACGTCTACATCTTAATCACACACTCACACCAACTGTCTGATGCAGTCCACTTTCTTACATGTCTCTAGATTCTTTGAATTAAAATTAGGAGGAATGGGAATAGGAGCTGATGAAACTGGAAGTCTGGGTTCAGCTACTATAGTATCATTTTACACATTTATCAGTAATTTTTTCCATAATACACATATTCATCATATTGGAACACCACTGTGTGCCAGGCACTGTGCTAGGTGTTGGCTTTCAGGGGAGGAGCAGGCCTTCTTTGTAGTGGCAAACAAAATATGTGTTCTGTTCTCAAGGAGGTAATAGTCAAGTCTAGGAGAAGCAGACATGTAAGAAGATGATTTCAGTATAATTTAATTGGGGCTACAATATAAGTAGGAACTTAGAGGAGGGAGTGACAGATTTCTCAGGAGAGTCCTGTTAGAGGAGAGAGACAATGACTCCATCCGTAGATTCCAAGAGCTAGTATATAAATGTTTAGCTATGTCAATGAATGAAAACTCAAATGAACAGTGTATATTATAGTGTGATTTATTTGGTTAATAATCTTGGATTTTATTTCTTTCAGATAAACCATGGTTTGATTTCAGAAAGTGGTACCAAATTATGAAGAAAGCTTTTGATGAGAAAAAACAAAAGTGGGAAGAAGCAAGGGCCAAGTATGTTCTCTTTCCTGGTTTAGATGCACCTGCTTTACTTCTGTGTCTGTTACTTTACATTTGAAAGCTGAAGCTTCATCAGTATACGCTGATCTGCATTGTGACTTTTTTTTCTGGAAATATTAGCCCTACACTCTTAACTTTTCTCTTTTTTATATTACTATTAACCAAACTTTAGATTTGATGTGAATTTCACCAGTGTTTTTATTAATGTCCTCTTTCTGTTCCATGATCCAATGCAGGATACCACAGTATACTTTTTATAATTTAACTTTTTGTAATTTACGTGAGACTTGCCTATATTTCTTTTTTTTTTTTTTTTTTTTTTTTTTTGAGACGGAGTCTCACGCTGTTGCCCAGGCTGGAGTGCAGTGGCGCGATCTCGGCTCACTGCAAGCTCTGCCTCCCGGGTTCCCGCCATTCTCCTGCCTCAGCCTCCTGAGTAGCTGGGACTACAGGCGCCCACCACCGCGCCCGGCTAATTTTTTTTGTATTTTTAGTAGAGACGGGGTTTCACTGTGGTCTCGATCTCCTGACCTTGTGATCCGCCCGCCTCGGCCTCCCAAAGTGCTGGGATTACAGGCTTGAGCCACCGCGCCCGGCCGACTTGCCTATATTTCTAATACTCCTCCCTCTTCCCCTTTCTCAAATATTTAGTCGTTTCTCGTCTATGCTTCCCAATATTAAAAAGATTACATATGTTACCTTGCAACACGTGTAATTGGAATGTTCCCCCAAAATAAAGACCCCTGTGAAAGTTAAAACAAAGCAGACAGCAAGTCCATTTGATTCAGCCAGTGTCACCGCCTTTCTTTGAACTGTCATTCTGATGTGGGCTTGTTGTGGTAGAGTAGAGAGAGCATAAGCAGTGCTAGGTTTGAATCCTGTCTGCATTACAAGCTAGCTGTGTGCCCATGGGCGTTACTTAACCTTTTGTTGAGTCTGAGTCTCTATGAGGCTTTGAAGAAAAAGGTAACATCTCTGTATTTAATGTAAATTTACAGTAATACTAATTCGACTCAGTAATTTTATATCCTTTGAGAAAAATCAAGGTTCCCCAAATTAGTTGAAATGAGAATTCGTTCAGCTCCTATTTCTTCAGTTAAAAAAAAAACATAATAATGCCCACTTATATACCGTAATTAAGACTCAATTTTCCAGGATGAGAGTAGAACTAGATTATTTTTCCTCTGAATTCCAGAGGGCTTTTAAATAGAAAAACAGACTCTTGGAATGGAAAAGGCACTGTGGAGATGATCCTTTCCAAAGTAGGGAAGTGTGACAGGTTCCCTGTTAGTAGGCAGGATCGATGCACAATGAAGAAGAGGGGTGGAGGTGAATTTATCCCAACAGCCCATGGATTTCCAGGAAACCGGGCCCCCTCCTCCTCATCAGAGGAGTGGCTCTTCAGTCAGTGGCTCTCAGTGGGCACAAGAATAGCAGCAGGAATGAGAGTTTGTTATGTGTCTTAGGTCATTTTGGAGAATCGGCCTTCCTTTCTGTGGTGCTAGCTGGGGTTAGTCCTGACAGATCCTGAGGACTGGGTGTTTAGGGGCCATTCCACCCTGGTGTCTCAGTGGTGACAGGGCTTTCCTTACCCCAAGCCAGACACCAGCCTACACTTTAAAACATAGCTCTTGGAGGCCCAGTTCATTATTGCAGTGTTATATCAGTTGCACATTTAAGACTTCCTGGCTTTTAGCTACTTTAGGGAATAATTTATCGGCCAAAGAAAGTAAGTCTGGTTATAAAATGGCACTTTCCAGGGAGGTACCAGGCCCCACGGTGGAGGCTGTCGAGGGGACCCCTTTCCAAGGTCCTTCTTCCTAGAGTATGTGCTGAAGGCTGACACACACGTGCAGTGTGAGTTACTGCTGAGTAACATGTGAAGCACTACCAACTGCTGCTCAGGCACAGAGCTCTGGTGCATGATGGTCACCTGTCGGTTTCACCCTTCCCCACCCCCATGTTGACATAAATTTCCAGTTTTTCTCTGTTTCTCTGAATATTATCATTCATATTGTCAGATGAAAATTATTAAAACATTTTCTATATCTAAGCATCGGTTCCTATGCATGACATTATGAAAAACACTAATAAACAATAGTTGAAAGCCTGAAACAGCATAAGAGGCTGCTTTGATGACTTCTAGCTGTTATAGAAGATGTTGAGAAGAACATGGAGAAAAATTAAGCCTGTGCAGAAAATCTCTATGCCCTAATTGGTGTATAGTGATATCTCATTGTGGTTTTAATTTACATTCACCTGCTAATTTTTGCCTTACCTTTTGGATTAGGCAGAAATTTCTTAGATGTGACACCAAAAGCATGATCTGTAAAAGAAAAAAAATTGGTAAATTGGACTTCATCAGAAGTAAGAACCTCTGCTCCACAAAAGACACTTAAAAGAATAAGAAGCTACAGACCAGGAGAAATTAAATGTAAATCACATATCCAATAAAATATTTGTATCTAGAGTATGTAAAGAATTATTAGGCAATAAGAAAAAAACTCCATTTTTTTAAATGGGCAAAATATTTGAAAAGACGTTTTACCAAAGATGATATCAAGATGACATGTGAAAAGATGTTTAACATCATTAATAGGGAAATGCAAATTAAAATGACAATGATATATCATTATATACCAATTAGAATGGTTCAAAACAAAACAAAAACAAAAACTGATCATTCCAAGTGTGGGAATTCAAAATGGTACAGCTATTTTGAAAAGTTGGCAGTTTCTCAGAGTTAAACATACATTTATTATGTTATCCAGTGTTTTTCACTCCTAGGTATTTACCCTAGTGAAATGAAAACAAGCTCACACAAAAATCTGCGTAGGAATGTTTCTAATGGTTTCGTTCATAATTGCCAAAAACTGGCAACAAACCACGTGTTCTTCAACTGGTGACTGGATAAACTGTGTTCTATCCATACAGTGGAATACCATTTAGCAGTACAGACTTCTGATGCATCCAGCAATATGAGTGAATCTTAAATGCATTATGCTACGTGAAAGACTCAAAAGGTTACTTATGCTGATTCCATTTATATAACATTCTGGAAAAGGCTAAACTATAGGGACAGAAAAACAGACCAGTAGTTGCCTGAGATCAAGGATTGACTGTCAAGGGATGTGGGAGGTATTTTGGAGTGATGGAATTGTTCTGCATAGTAATTGTAGCGAATACACACATGCAACTGTATGTGTTTGTCAATGCTAGCAGAACTACACTGAAAAGAGTAAATTTTACTGAATGTAAATTATACCTTAATTTTTAAAAATGAGGAAACATGACATGCAGACAGATGAGAGAAGTATATGGATAACATCTAGCTGGGAAACATGGTTTGTGGTGTGTCTCTTTTTGTAGTTTTATTGTAATGAGAAAAGGCAGGCAAGGTAAAGTCAATTTTGGAAGAAGCTTTCATTTCAGGTCTCTAAACACTTAGCGTAGTTTTATTTTAGATCACCCTTCCCATTCTTGGAGCATGCCCTCCAAGGACATAATAGTGCTCTCTTGATTTATGGCATGATTGCCACTTGTATAGGCGTTTACTGTAAACACATGAGAAACTTCTATTTAGATTAGGTATTCACAAGGAATGTTTAGCAGTGAGTGTGCCCAGGGATTGGGATTAGACTGTTTAGGGAAATTCTTTATCCTTTGAGATTTTATTATTTAAGAAAATTAATAGCAAAAAATATATTTTAAAGATTCGCTGACTCATTTACCATAACGTTAAATGACAAACTCTCTGATATATTTTAAATGTGGTGTGGTTCACTAAAGTTTAATTTCACATAATTTTCAGGAAACCATCTCCTGTATAACATTAATTACATCTCTACTGCTACCTAATGATTAGAAAAATTACCTTTCTGTTCTTTTTTTTTTTTTTTTTTTTTTTTTTTTTTTTGTGAGACGGAGTTTCACTCTTACTCTTGTTGCCCAGTCTGGAGTGCAATGACACGATCTCAGCTCACCGCAACCTCCGCCTCCCGGGTTCAAGCGATTCTTCTGCCTCAGCCTCCCAACTAGCTGAGATTACAGGCATGCGCCACCACGCCCTGCTAATTTTGTATTTACTACAGAGATGGGGTTTCTCCATGTTGGACAGGCTGCTCTCAAACTCTCAACCTCAGGCGATCCTCCCGCCTCAGCCTGCCAAAGTGCTGGGATTACAGGCATGAACCACCGCACCCGACTCCTTTCTGTTCTTAACATTTAATATCATTGCAGAAATTCAAAATAAAAAGTCAACATCTGTTTTATATATAGTCATGATTTTACTGACTTGATCAAGTATTTTTAAAAATTCTTGAAAAAAATCAGTTCTTAAATTGGTTAAAATGATTATTTGCTAAATGATATTACTAAAATATTGTTTAAAATGTGTGCTTTTATATACGTATTACTTCCTAGTATTAAAAATAAATGGTGAGAAATTATTACAGATACTACAGATGTTTAAAATATTTGTATTTCTGGCTTCCTATTTTTAATCTTTTTTTCTGGAAAGTTCACAGATATTTCTTGAGTATCTGCTAGCCAGGCACTTTGTCAAGTACTAAATAATAATTCTAATTATTGTATAGGATTTAAAGAACCCATATATACATTATCTTATTCCTCAGAATAACCCTGTGAAAGTAGAGGATGAGTTTAGAGATGCTAAATTCATTTCTTTGTTCATTTATTCATCCAGTTATTCTTCAACAAATGTTTAAATGAGTTCCTACTATCTGCCATTCCCTGACAACACTAGGGGCATAAGGATGGCTGAGACAGTCTCTGCCTTTGAGAGCCTCCATAATTTGTCGTTCAGATTATGCTAGCTCTACCACTAGAAAGTGGTGGGCCAGGTCTTCTGATTCAGTACTCTTTCTTGTTGCCACAGTGTCTTTCAAAATAAAAAAATGGCCTGGGATCAAGAAGAAGGTGGATTTTTTTTTTATTATTATTATAAGTTATGAAAGTCCTCTGCACTAGGGAACACAGAAATAATGAAAATGAGACTAAGAATGAACATTGTTATCTTTGTTGCAGAGCTGCAGTGTCTCCTTGGCAAAGTTTAGCAACAACCACTAGAACCAGAAATAGAACATGTCACTTCCTTTTGGAGTCTAGAACTGATCACCCTAATCTGTAGGAACCTTAGGTGGCTCTTAGTGTTTGTCCTGGAGGGAACCCCAAGAGCCAGAGCAATCCAGGATCCCCATTTTACAGTGGAAACTCCCTGGCTGCCCTTCCCTTGGCAAGAATAGGCTGAGTCAGGACAGGGACTGTTGGGACTTTGTCATCCTGGAATCCAGTCTCTTCCTCTCCTTTACACCAGGAGTAGAATAGATTTCCTGGCATCAGGTGCCAGAGAGATGCATTTACTGTTCACTCCGTGTAAGTTATTCAGAAGTACTACTAACAACTCTCAGCAAAAAGGCATTGGGGCAAAGGCAATGAGGAACAGTTGTTTCGAGGTGGCTTCACTTTATGAGAACGAGCAGCAAGGGAAATTTATGGTGGAGGAAACTGTTTCTGTGTTTTGTGTGTAATTAATAGCTTCTTCAAGATGTCACGGCATCTGGGCAGCTTTTGAGAGGAGCATACCATTCTCTTGGCCTGGGCTCTCGGTCAGTGCTTCCTTCTAGGGCCTAAGTTCAGTAGACAATATAGACATGTGCCAATAAGCCATTCTAAGCCAGAACTGTAACGAAATATCGGAAATCTCAGGTAGTGCTTCAGACAATGTGTTTATGTCCGTTTCATCTCCATCCTGCTCCAGCTGTTTCTTTACCATGTACAGGTACCTGTGGAAAAGTGAAAAGCCACTCTACTACTCGTTTGTCGACAAACCAGTAGCATATAAAAAAAGAGGTGAGTCCAGTTTTGTCTTAATACCAAGTAGCAACACAATTGTAGAAAAATTAAATATCTGGACTTGAAATGTTGAATGCTTACGTTTTTTACTTTTTTTAAACAAATGTTCCGGGGCACGTATACATCCAAAGGAGCATCATGCTCTGCAAGCAATCTCTGCAGGAATCTACTTCAGGAACATGCCGTTCTTCAAAACAGAGCCTCAGTTCCTGCCAAAATCTAAAATCCTAAATCGTTCTGATTTTGGGAATTCTTTGCTTATAGAATTCTTTTTGGATTGTACATTCTTTTTGAAGTAGTTTTCCACATGCACCTCATCCAGTTTCATTTTCTCTTAAAGGTGTCCTGTTACATTACGGTGGTACATTTGCCAAAACTAAGGAACCAATATTGGTACATTCTTATCAAGTAAATTCCAGGCTTTATTTGTGATTTAATATAACTTGTTATTTTGTTTCCTTTTTTTCTCCATTTCCAGAAATGGTGGTGAATCTACAGAAACAATTTAGCACACTGGTTGATTCAACAGCAACTGCTGGAAAAAAAAGCCCTTCAAGTTTTCAGTTCAACTGGACTGAAGAAGACACTGATAGAACATGTTTCCATGGACACAGCCTTCAGGGAGTCCTGAAAGAGAAAGGCCAATCACTGCTAACTAAGAATTCATTATATTGGCTTAGTACACAGAAATTCTGCAGATGGTAATCAATGCTTTTAGAAAAAGTCACATATAATTGAAGCAGTTGCCTATATAAGAGCCAGATAGGTTTTCTGTTGGAATTAGAAGCTGGTGAGCTTAAAGTCACGAAAATCAGAATTATACATTGAGTCTTGTGTAAGAGTTCTAGGAAAGCTGGTAAAAAGAAAGAGGATACAAGGCAATTAGCACAACTGTTGCCTCTAAATTAACCTGCAGTGCAGCAGGCAGGCAATAGAAGTGGCTGTAACTGCTGATCAGGAGAATGCGCTGTATTTTTTAGTACATATCACTTCTCTGAGTCAGTTACCTTTTTCATGTCTTTCTACCTCTTAATACTTCCTTAAGTATTTCCTAAAAATAAGGATATTCTCTTAAGTGACCACCGTACAGTTATCAAACTCAGGAAACTTAATATTGATACGATACTTTTATCTCACCCACAGTCCATATTCCAGTTTTCTCATTAGATCCCCAGTGTCCTTTTATAGCAGGATCAAGTTCAGGAGTAGGTATAGCATTGATTGATTTTATCTCTTCAGTCTCCTTTAATCAGATTGTCCCTCAGCCTTTCTTTGTCTTTCATGACATTGACCTGTATTTTTCAGAAATGTCAGTGGTGTTATACAATGTTTCTGAGTATGGTTGTGATGGTTCCTCATATTTAGATTCAGGTTCTGCATCCATGGCAGCTTATGTCATGATCCGTACCTTTGTGCTTTTTCACAGGGCATGAGGGTGGATTGTGGATGATCTCAGATTTAATACTGCAGTATAACGCAGTGATTGATACATAGAGCTTAGTATAGTCAGTGATGAAAATGCTGAGATTTTTTTCTCTGCATGAAGTATAAAACTAAATTCTGATTGTATGAAGTTTCAGTGATACCATGACTTTAGACACCAAACTTATCTGTCAACCTTCCCTGTTCTAGACCAGAGCCTAGAACTGCAGAGCAAGCAAAAAAGGCTTCAGCTGGGCAGTAAAAATGCCACAGAGACCGTAACTAAAACTCAGCCTCTTTCCTTAGAGAGCCCCTTAGCCCCTCGCTCAGAGCCCCTGACTCTGCCCTTAGGCTGAGTTGTCTGATTTCCAAACTCCTCATCATCAAAGAAACAAAACCAGAGGTCCGAGAAGCACTCTGCTGATAGACATCTTGACGGTAAACATAAATGACACCCTTTGACAACGATAGGGGAGCCAGCCTCAGAATCCAAAGCAGACAGAGCTCCAGTCGCAGAGCCTGAAGTTCATGGCTCTGTGCCACTAAATAAGGGGACCACATCCCTGCTTCAGCACAGCGCATGTCCCAGGACGCTGTGTGCCTTCGTGTCCATGCCACTAAATAAGGGGACCACATCCCTGCTTCAGCACAGCGCATGTCCCAGGACGCTGTGTGCCTTCGTGTCCATGCCACTAAATAAGGGGACCACATCCCTGCTTCAGCACAGCGCATGTCCCAAGATGCTGTGTGCCTTCGTGGTGGGTTTTAATAGCATGTTTTCTACTGTTTCTACAATAAAAACAGGCAACTGTAAAGGCTAAAATATGCTAAATATGCTCTAAGACAACCATCAAAAATGGTTACAATGAAAAGCGATGCTTTTGAGAGCAGATATTTAGCTATGTAGAGAATTTCATTAGGCAGAAGGACTCATTTCTGAGGGTTCAGAAGAAACAAAACATTTGCTGTAAAATTGTGAAAACACTCAGAGCTTGGGAACTAAGCAGAGAAAGGCCACAAGAGTACTTCAGGTATGGGAGGCTGTTGATTCTTCCTAGCTGAGGCAGAGTTAACAATTTCAATGAATTGAAATGCCCTTTCTATTCCCAGTTGTTATAATAGTTGGCTGGGTCAGAAGACCTGACTTCTTGTAGGTGGCCATGACCTCCCTGGGAGTTCCATAGATGAGGCAGAGCAGTGGTCTTTAGTTGTATTCCACAGGAAATGGAGGTGCTTTGGCTGCCCCACAAAAATTTGATTTGAATTTGTAAAATATTATTTTTAACTATTTTTTTAAACTATAGTGAAAAAACAGTACTCAGGCCGGGCAGGGTGGCTCATATCTGTAATCCTGGGAGGCCGAGGCAGGCGGATCACGAAGTCAGGAGATTGAGACCATCCTGGCCAACATGGTGAAACCCCGTCTCTACTAAAATACAAAAAATTAGTCGGGCGTGGTGGTGCATGCCTGTAGTCCCAGCTACTCAGAAGGCTGAGGCAGGGTAATCACTTGAACTCGGGAGTTGGAGGTTGCCATGGGCCAAGACTGTACCACTGCACCCCAGCCTGGTGACAGAGCGAGACTTAGTCTCAAAAAAAAAAGTACTCAAATATGTCATATGCTTAGCTTAGGCAGGTGTGGTGGCACATGTCTGTAGTCCCGGCGACTTGAAAGGCTGAGGTGGGACAATCACTTGAGGCCAGGAGTTTGAGGCTGTGATGTGCAATGATTGTGACTGTGTGTAGCCACTGCACTCCAGCCTGGGCATAGTGAGACCCTGTCTCTTAAAAATATATATCTCTAAGCCGGGTGTGGTGGGTGGCTCATGCCTGTAATCCCAGCACTTTGAGAGGCCAATGCAGGTGGATCGGAATTCAAGACCAGCCTGGCCAACATGGTGAATCACCATCTCTACTAAAAATACAAAAATCAGCCAGGTATGGAGGGGCACGCCTGTAATCCCAGCTACTTGGGAGACTGAGGCATAAGAATCGCTTGAACCTGGGAGATGGAAGTTGCAGTGAGCTGAGATCTCACCACTGCACTCCAGCCTGGGTGACAGAGTGAGACTCCATCTCGAAAAAAAAAAATATATATATATATATATATATAAAAAGCAAGAGGCCAACATTTTTGTGAGAATTACTATAAATGGCTTATTTTTTATCTTTATTAAACCAATCAATGAACAAACATTTGAGGCCTTTATATTTCCTACTAGTAATAAAGCATTTGGTTTACTGTATAGTATTAAAATAGCCTTAAGATTCTGAGTAAATACAAAAAAAATTAATTTTAAAGGACTGTAGAGGAAGTGAACATTTTTGAGCCCTTGCTGTGTGCCAAGAATTGGGTTAAGTGTTTAATATACATTCTTATTTAATCTTGTCTACTCTGTCAAGTGTAAGTACTGTTGGCCGGGCGCAATGGCTCACACCTGTAATCCCAGCACTTTGGAAAGCCGAGGCAGGCAGATTACGAGGTCAGGAGATCGAGACCATCCTGGCTAACATGGTGAAACCCCGTCTCTACTAAAAATACAAAATATTAGCCGGGCATAGTAGCGGGCGCCTGTAGTCCCAGCTACTCGGGAGGCTGAAGCAGGAGAATGGCGTGAACCCAGGAGGCAGAGCTTGCAGTGAGCCGAGATTGTGCCACTGCACTCCAGCCTGGGTGACAGAGTGAGACTCCGTCTCAAAAAAAAAAAAAAAAAGTATAAGTACTGTTATTTTTTTCCTGTTTTACAGATGAGAGAACCAAGAGTAGTTATCCATAGTCACAGCTGATGGGTGGCAGAGGGTTTTGTTTGGTTGGTTGATTGGTTTTGGGGTTTTTTGTTTTGGGGTGTTTGTTTTTTTGAGACAGAAGCTTGTTCTGTCACCCATGCTGGAGTGCAGTGACACAGTCTTGGCTCACTGCAGCCTCCCCGGTTCAAACAATTCTTGTGCCTCAGCCTCCCAACTGCCTGCTACTACAGACATGCGCTACCACCCTGGCTAATTTTTGTATTTTTAGTAGAGACGGGTTTCATCATGTTGGTCAGACTGGTCTCAAACTCCTGATCTTGTGATCTGTCCACCTTGGCCTTCCAACGTGCTGGGATTACAGGCATGAGCCACTGTTCCTAGACAAGTGGCAGAGTTTTGCAGTGCAAACACAGACATTAAGGAATTTAGGGCCATATATGTTATGTAAGTCATAATATCTCAATGTTTATAGCTTCTATATGTTATTTCTTTACTTGCTTTTTAAAGTTGAAAATGGGGAATTTCTGGTATACTCAGAAGTAGAGTAGTATAAAGAACCCCCGTCTCTGTCACCCAACCTCAGCAACTGTGACATGGCAAGACTTGCTTCACCCAGGCTCCAGCTTACTCTACCCCTCTACCCCCCATTATTTGGAAGCAGATCTCAAACATCATATTTTTTAAAGTAAAACCGTAATACCATCAATCAGATATAAAAAATTAATAGTAATTTCTTAATATTATCCACCATGCAGTCAGTGGTTAGATTTTCCTAATTGTCATATAATTTTTTAAATGAGTTTAACTCAGAATCCAAACCAGGCCCATATATTGCAAGTGGTTGACATGGCTTGTAAGTGTTTCAGTTCTTCAGAACCCCCCTCTTTATCTCTCTTTTTTCTTCTTACAATGTACGTATTGAGTAATCCTGGTCATGTGTCCCATACAATTTCTCATAGTCCGAATTTTGCATATAGACAGTGCCATGTGATGCCATTTAGCCTCTTCCTCTGTCCCTGGATAGCCTATATGTTGGTGTAGTTAGAGTTTGAGATTGGCAGTTATGGCCGGGTGCGGTGGTTCATGCCTGTAATCTCAACACTTTGGGAGGCCAAGGTGGGTAGATCACCTGAGGTCAGGAGTTTGAGACCAGACTGGCCAACATGGTGAAACCCCGTTTCTACTAAAAATACAAAAATTAGCCAGGCATGGTGGTGCATGCCTATAGTCCCAGCTACTTGGGAGGCTGAGGCAGGAGAATCGCTTGAATCCGGAAGGCAGAGGTTGCAGTCAGCAGGGTGAGACTCTGTCTCAAAAAAAAAAAGAGATTGGCAATTAGCATTAGTTAGAGATTTGATCAGATTCAGGTTTAACTTTTTTTTTTTTTAAATACTTTAAGTTTTAGGGTACATGTGCACAATGTACAGGTTTGTTACATAGGTATCCGTGTGCCATGTTGGTTTGCTGCACCCATCAACTGGTCATTTACATTAGGTATTTCTCCTAATGTTATCCCTCCCTCTGCACCCCA